CGCCGCGTTCTCGCACGTGTAGAACTAAAGTTTTGATCGCGGCAACGTCGCAATCTGAATGTACCAGTGCTACTGAATGTTGGAGTCACAAAAAGTGTTTAGCTTCTTTAAAAGCTATTTTTGAATTATTTTTGATTAATAATTATGTATATAAATGCTTAAACTTTTTAAAAGTATGAAAACTAATTTTTAATTATTTATAATTAATATTTACATCAATAATGTATTATAAATTGGTTTATAAAGTAAAAAATAAATATTTTATCAAAAAATGTTTTTATTTCTTAACTGTTGAAATATAACCAACCAATTTAACGTTTCTCATTCTTATTTTTCTTAAAATATATGATTTAATTTAAAAAATTGAGAATTATTTAATACTAATCTATGTTGTGAAATTTTAAATATATTATTTTTTTATTTTACTCTATGAGATATTCCTACTTTCTAACTGTGTACTTTGCATGATTTTGAATTTTGTATGCATTCGCGCGCTACAGCGTTGCCAAGTGTACTGCATTCCAGCAGTGGAACTTCATATAATTTAAAATTTTGTTAACTTTCTCCTAATATATTTATAGTTTGGTACGGTCAAAAAATTTCAGTTTTTTTGTATGCATTCGTTTCTAATGAAAGTATTATGTGGTAGTTTTATTTTAAAATATGACGACTGGTTTTTATTTAAATAATTATAAAGCAAATTCCTTACATGCATTAGGTGCTCCGTCCATGTAAAAATTATCAACTTTAAAATGATATTTTAAAGCTTAGGAACGGTCAAAATCGATGGGAATGGTCTTATTTTGTAGATAATTATGTCAGAAACACTCATGCAAAATTTAAAAAATATCTGACGAAAATGATTTTACGCGACTAATACCTTAAATCTTTACAATTTGTAAAAGCTGAAAACCCGAATAATATAAAAATAATAATATGTTTTTCATTTATGTAGTATTAGACATAACAAAAAATGTAGTAATTTTAATTTCTTTGATGATCCAGTGCCAATATTAGGTGTCCATTTTGATTACGTAAACAACTGAAAATATATATATTTCTTAAAAAATATATATTTCGTCGGGTTAGTAAAAAAACATACCATTTCAGGAAATCGTTTTAAAACATACCAACTCGTGAAATCGTATGAAACATACCATTTCGGATGACATTTATAAAACGTAACATTTTAAAAAAGTTATTTTTCTGCTTCGATTTTAAGTTCGTAATACTAACTGGAAATAAGTAAACTGCCTTTTTTAAAAGAGATATTTATATAATCTAATGCAATAATATTAATATATCCTTTAAAAATGCATTTTATTTATTTCCAGCTAGTATTACCAACTTCAAATAGAAGCAAAACAAACTTTTATGAAATAATAAGTTTTATAAATGTCATTCGAAATAATACGTTTTATATGGCTTTCACGAGTTGGTATGTTTTAAAAAGATTTTCCAAAATGGTATGTTTTTCCACTAACCCGACGATTTGACCTTTATAACTTAAGGATGAATCAGATAATAATTGGAATTATTATTTGCGTGAACAATTCAAACGGAAGCTCCTTACAAAAAGAGAAAATACAACTATCGATTACTATAGAAAGCATTCTCCTGAACCGAAAGAATAGAAAGAATAAATTGCAACTGTGAGATGAAAAATGGCATCTACAATAATTCGACTGCTATCTTACCATTTTGAATTGCATAAACAATTGGAAGTGGAAAGCTTCTCACGAAGAGAGAAAATACAGCTGTCGATTACTACAGAAAGCATTCTTCTGATTCTAGAAAAACAAAAAGAATAAATTGAAACTCTAAGATAAAAATGATATCTGCAATAATTCGACTGCTAGCTTTCCATTTTCAATTGCATGAACAATTGAAAGTGGAAAGCTTCTCACGAAGAGAGAAAATACAGCAGTCGATTACTATAGAAAGCATTCTTCTGATTCTACAAATATAAAAAGAATAAATTGCAACTGTAAGATAAAGAATGATATATGCAATAATTCGACTGCTAGCTTTCCATTTTCAATTGTATGAACAATGGAAAGTTGAATGCTTCTCACGAAGAGAGAAAATACAGCAGTCGATTACTATAGAAAGCATTCTCCTGAACCGAAAAAATAGAAAGAATAAATTGCAACTGAAAGATAAAGAATGATATCTGCAATAATTCGACTGCTAGCTTTCCATTTTCAGTTGCATGAACAATTGAAAGTGGAAAGCTTCACACGAAGAGAGAAAATACAGCAGTCGATTACTATAGAAAGCATTCTCCTGAACCGAAAGAATAGAAAGAATTAAATGCATCTGTAAGATAAAGAATGATATCTGCAATAATTCGACTGCTAGCTTTTCATTTTCAGTTGCATGAACAATTGAAAGTGGAAAGCTTCTCACGAAGAGAGAAAATACAGCAGTCGATTACTATAGAAAGCATTCTCCTTAACCGAAAGAATAGAAACAATAAATTGCAACTGTAAGATAAAAAATGATATCTACAATAATTCGACTGCTAGCTTTCCATTTTTAATTGCATGAACAATGGAAAGTTGAAAGCTTCTCACGAAGAGAGAAAATACAGCAGTCGATTACTATAGAAAGCATTCTCCTGAACCGAAAGAATAGAAAGAATAAAATGCATCTGTAAGATAAAAAATGATATCTACAATAATTCGACAGCTAGCTTACCATTTTCAATTGCATAAACAATTGGAAGTGGAAAGTTCTCACGAAGAGAGAAAATACAGCTGTCGATTACTACAGAAAGCATTCTTCTGATTCTACAAAAATAAAAAGAATAAATTGCAACTGTAAGATAAAGAATGATATCTGCAATAATTCGACTGCTAGCTTTCCATTTTCAATTGCATGAACAATTGAAAGTGGAAAGCTTCTCACGAAGAGAGAAAATACAGCAGTCGATTACTATAAAAAGCATTCTCCTGAACCGAAAAAATAGAAAGAATAAAATGCATCTGTGAGATAAATAATGATATCTACAATAATTCGATTGCTGGCTTACCATTTTGCATTGCATAAACAATTGTGAGTGGGAAGCTTCTCATGAAGAGAGAGAGGGAGAAAGAGAGAGAGAGAGTACATATTCGATTATTATCATAATAAGCATTTTGCTTCAATCCAGAAAATACTAAAAAATAATATTTGAATAGTAAAATAAAATAAATCGAGTGTATGATGACGATTTTCAATTATTTAGAACATGGAAAATTTATATCTTGTAATCAAGAGATAAATTGCAGCGCTACGTTTCTTTTAATAACGTAAGTAATAATATTATAATGTAAACAATTGCTATACGTTTTTAGAATTATATTATATGCTTTGCGTATATAATGTCTTCCTAAAAAAGAACAGCATATGTGAGCCCCGACCAACGCTCACATTAGTGAGACCCAACTACCAGAAATTGGTCTCTCTTTTTTAATCACAATTTTAAAAAATTATATTATTTCAATTTTGTCAATTTATTTGAAGAATATAAAATATATAACTTTTTTACTTATTTTAATTTAGTCGGTTTTTTTTATATTTTATAGTACGCTCCGTTGGCTTCCTTTTTCTTTTTTGATGTTGTTCTGAAAACATAATAATCATTTATGTTTAACGATTCTTTTAATTGTTTAACATGAAGAAGAAAGTAATTGTATGGAGAATATATTAATAAATAACACTGTAAAAACATTTTTAGTGTGATACCATTTAGTCTAGTACTTTTTTTCAAAGGAAATTTTTTGGCAAAGATATTTTAGTAACAAAATAAAAACATGAAAATGAGATATCTTACCGAGGGTTTCTTCATTGCTTTTTGTGGATTTTATATTTTCGGATTTGTTTTCCGCCTGAGATGGAATATTTCCTTCTGTAATAAAAAATTTGTTTTTGAATTGTCTAAAAATTGTAAAAAATAAAACAATTTTCTAGGAAATCGTTTTTATCAATAAAAATAAATATCTTACGACTGCTTTCGGCTTCGTTTGGCGAGTCAACTTTTCGAAGTGTCATTACTTCTTGGGTCGTACGTTGAAACGTGTAACTTTCCAAAAATGATTTAAAAGCTGAAACAAAAATTAGAATTTCACTTTTATTTAGTGTAGTTAGAAACTAAACAGTAGAAGATATTTTCTGAAATATGCAGAAAACTTACCATTGTGTAACAGTCTTTGAAATTCAGGATTATCTGTAATTATAACCATTTAATAAATTGTTAGTAAATTTTTAAGTTTAGACATTTTAGTAGAAACTTAACACAATTTTCTAAAAACAAAATTATTTTGTTTACTTATCTCTGTTTTCTGAAATAGCACAATAAATATTATAATATAAAAATTTTACCAAAAAGTTCATTAACATCAATTTTTAATATGTTTTCTGTTGATGTTGCCTTTTCTTTATAAGTTACATAGTCTTTAATGGTTTGTGTGATGCCTGCGATAAAAATTTATTATTTCATTAAAAAATATTAACCCAATTAATAGAAAACATATTACCGTAAAATGGGGTAATGTCAGCGATTTTTGATGTTTTTGCTTAAAAAACTATGAGAAAAACATAAAATTCAACTTTAATACTGTTAATATATAAAGTTTCGTTTTTTGTGTTTTACTGTGGCCGAATTTTCCTCCAAATTTAATTTAACTGATGCCAGAGATGTTTGAAGTACTTTTTTAATCGGATTTGTCAAAAAAAAATTTAAGAGAGCTCTAGAATCATGTTTTCAAAAATATTTAGTGAAAATGTAAAATGAACATTCGTATAAAAACACATATTTGACTAAAATTATTCACTCAATATATATAAAACAAATGTCAAAATAATGTTTGACGTCTATACAAACAAAAGTAATCGTAATTAAAGGATTTTTTCTTAGAAAGGTTACCAAGAAATTTTTAAAACTAATTTGTAATAATCGCCGACTTTACCCCATTTTACGGTATATAATTTTACTGTTCATAAACAAAAGGTATTTACATTCATCATCTGCTACTTTAATTAATTTGTTGTTATCAGATAAAATTTTTATTGATGTAATAATAGGTTTTTATTTTGTTTCGTCTATTTCATTTATAGTTGATTTATCTGCAATAAAATATATAGTTTACTATTGATATACGAAATATGTTAAGAAAGGACTCCAATATGAGAAAATAATAATGTATTGTTTAGTTTTTATAAAATTATTGAACCTTTTTAGAAACCTTCTCATATAAGAGCCATATCTTATATTCTCTACAAAATCTTTAAAAAGTTATATAGGAAAGATAGCATTTTAAATTAAAATTACGCATATTATTATATCTTAATTTAAAGTAAAACTTTAGTAAAAATTTAATGTTTATAAAATTACCAGTGTCGTTTCTTTTTTGTTCCATTTTAATCTCATCTTCAGGATTTGTTCTATTTATAATTTTTTTCGCTTCTTCTAAACCAGCATTTTTTTTACCATCATCATCACTGTTCACTGAAATCATGTTACAAAAAAATTTGATTAAAAAATAGAAATATCATTTATAAATTTGAAACTTTATAGAATGGGATGTTTATAAAATTACCAATATCATTTCCGTTTTCGTCCATTTTTATCTCATCAGTTTCTTTTATTTCCAATGAATTGCTAATTGGCTGATATATTTTCTTTGGAAATTTAACTGCTTCCATATATGCATTTTGTTTTTTAATTGTATTGTTTCTTTGATCTGAAATTTTTAAAATTAAAATTACGCATATTATATATTCAAAAATTATATTTTCTTAATTTAAAGTAAAACTTTAGTAAAAATGAAATGTTTATGAAATTACCAATATCGTATCTTTTTTGGTCCATTTTGATCTCATCTTCAGGATTTGTTTTATGTATAATTTTTTTAGCTTCTTCTAAACCAGCCTTTTTTTTACCATCATCATCACTGTTGACTGAAATCATGTTACAAAAAATTCGATTAGAAAATAGAAATATATTGAAATTTATGGTAATTATTAATAACCTATTAAATACTTACGTAAATTCAGTATATTTGTCATTTTATTCAGGTATGCTAAAATAAAATAAAATAACTTTAATTAAATTGTTATTATATAGACAATGAATAATTTATGATTTTTTGTTCAAAAGTCTGCATATATGAAGATTTTAATAATCCAGTTTAAAGTAACTTCAATGGAATTCCGGTTATTATGAATGTTTGGGGCAGGTCATCAATAATACGAAAAACTCAGCTTGCCGGTAATGCGTGTGACAAAACTATTAACAACCCCTTCCCGGTTCATTTCTTTTCAAAACCTACAGTTCTCAATAAAGCAATTTTCCGATAATCGGTGTTCCAGTGTATAATTATAATAAATAACATATTACCATAATCAATATTGTCAGAAATTTTAAATTTCTGAACCTCTTTTTTATTCCCTGATTGGTTGGCTTTTGTTTTTTTATCCCAAGAATCACCATCTGATGATGTATCATCGATTTCAATTCTCTTGAATCCTATCGAGTAAAATAATATTAGAAAAAAAATATTGTAATAAATTCTTAAATATATGGTTTAGTTTCAATTTTTTTAGAAAAAAATTATTTAACCTATTTTTAATTCATTAAATGAAATTATTCAGGCAACACACCTCTATTATGTTTTTTGAGCTTTATATCTGATGCAGAATTGTCATCGGATATAACAACGGTTTCTGTTGTTATTGGACCAGCTATGGGATTCCGTTTAGCAACGGCGCTAAGTAGTGCTACGCTACGCTACGCTTCGCTTAGCTACTCTACGGATTCTTCTAATTAAAAAACAACTTAAAAACAGGGTAGTACAACACAACACAACACAGTACAGTACAGTACAGTACAGTACAGTACTTATATTACAATTTAAAAAAAAACGAACAATCATCTCCATGCTTAACATAAACATTTATTTTAAACCACCTCCATAACAACGGTTGCTATGGTAACTGTTTCCATAGCAACCGTTGCTAGGGTAATCAACAACACTAGTAGATCCCAACAGGTGGTTGTTGGGTGTCGACGAGTCTCATGTCTCAATTTAGAGAAGTCTCAAGCCTCAATTGCGACAAGTCTCATGTCTCAATTAAGACGAGTTTTAAGTCTCAATTGTGACTTAAAACTCGTCAATTGAGACAAATCTCAAGTCTCATTTGAGAAATAATAATTTGCCTTTTCAACAGGCAAGGGGTTAACCACTTTATTTTAACCCTTTTATAACCCTTGGATACATTGTAAACAATTTTTACCGACATCTTAAATAATTATGGTAACGAAAACTAAAAAAAATTTGATTTTTTGAAAAAAACTCAGTGTATTCTCCTCTTAAGTGAATTTGAATTTGTGTTATAGCTAGTGACTTTGCGCTACGCTCCGAAGCGATTACACCGTAGCGATTTGGAACAAAATCTTGACCAATTCGCTAACTCGTAGCGCCGATAGACTTTGTTTTTTATCTTACACGCCACTAATTAATTTTTTTGACAAAATTCAAACGGGAGTTGATCTTGATTATCATATACAATAAGTCTGTAAAAAAAAATTAATTTTTTAGTGCTAATTAATGCAATGCGCTACTTAGCGCCGTTGCTAAAAGGAATCCCATAGCAGGTTCCTTCTCCGATTTTAAGATTTTTCTACCTGCAGCTTAAAATTTAAATAATTTACTAATGTAATTTATAAGGAATTATAAATATTACAGTTATTAATAAATAATTTATTATTAAATACCCTTTAATAGATACTTACAATATATTTTACTTTTAATATGAACATTTTCAGTTTTTTTTGGCCTTTGTGTTTTTTGTTGCTGTTGTTTTAAGTCAGTTGCAAGTGAAGTTTCTTCTAAAGCATAAATAAATAATAAATTATCAGTATCATGTAAATAAATAAATTAAAAGTTTAAAATGTTAATATATTAATGCATATAAAAGAAACATACGTGTTTTTATTTCGTCTGTACACATGTTTTTTAAAACATTAATGTTCAAACAATGGCGCTTGTATGTCATGATCGCAGGTGCTGAAAGAAATTTTTTTTTAAAGTAATGTTTACAATAGAAATTGTAATATTATCAGCTTATGAACATTAAAAATATAAACATTGAAACTTACGTTTTAAGTTTTTCAAGAAATGTTCACATTCTTTCATGAAAATTGTCATGGCTTCCTTAGTTTCTAATCTGTAATTTATTATTTCTAGAATTGTTATGTGAACTGTTGACTACATAAAATTGATTTTCATGCTATAAAATTTACTTACTTTTTTGGGCTATATTGGAATTTATGCCAGACGTCTTGAATTTCTTTTGTGATTTCAGACCTTACATTTTTTTTAAAAACTTCCAAGGAATGTAGGTTTCGTAAAAGCTCTGCAATAACAACGTTCATAATAAAAATATATGTAAAACTTACTCTATAAGTTTTATCATATTTGATGATTAAAAATTCATGTATTAATATTTTATCATAACTTATGAATTTTACCAATTATTTCGCCGGGAAGTCTTACTTTAAAAATCTTCATCATTTGAAGGTGACAAATATCCATGGTGGAATTTGTTCTTAATTCTTCGGCTTCATTTAATGTAATTTGTTGTGATAAATCAACAATTATAGCTGACATTTCTTGTAAAAATGCATTATGCTTTTTAGTTAAATTTTTGCATTCGGAAAGACTTCATTTATTGCCGTCATTACCTCCGAGTCATATGGACCAAAGATTTTTTCAGTGTCAACAAAGGCTTCCACTTGATCAATTGCATTCATTGTTTTTTCTTTTGTGTCGTAGTTAAAATTTGCAGAAAAAATAGTGAAAGCAACATACGCCTTGAAAAAAAATTGTTATTATTAAAACATTTTAAGCTAATCATCAATATTTATACACGGAAAAACTATAAATAACTTTCAATACTAACCAAGTAAATCTTGAACTGTCGCATTTGTGGCAATTTTTTCAATCGTTTGGAATAATGTAAAATTTACTTTTGACGTAATAAAATTTGCCAAAAATACCAAACACTGTAGATTTTACTTTGTCAATAGCAAAAATTACTTGATAGTTTTTTCTGTTTAAAAACCAGCAAATTGACAAATAATTCGTTTTCTAAACTTTTAAAATTTTTATTAGATACTATTACTTACTTTTTTTTTCCAATACAATTATATTAATAACTGTTACACTAAACTTTTCGAACGTCATCTGCAAAGTAAAATATATTATTTGGTTATATAAAACTTACTTTAATATATGTATTAAAAGTTGAATTAGAAAATATATTATTAAAACCTGTATAGATGAGTCGTAGTAGAAATATTTAATAACTCCTTTTATTTTTCCTACTTTTAAAATTATTGTGCCTTTATCCACTTCTTTCCAAAAGGTTTCCAATTTTTGGAGTTCGCGAAAGAAACCGACACCTGTCTTAATATTAATAATCGCATTCATCTTTGCTACTCTCATTCGTGGTCTCAATCCCTGATACGAGAGATTAACTTTGTATCTGAAAAGAATAGATATTAATAATTATCAGGCATTGTGCTTAAAAAAACATTAAATGCTTCTATCAAACAATAAATTGCTATCTGTCTCTGACTATTTTCCACGATTATTGACTTTATAAGCAAGCTATTTACAAATTCCAATATAAAACCACAAATTAAGTACCGTTGAATAACTTCTTTGAAAATTGCATTTTGATTGGCATTATAATTTTCTCGACACAAGCTCAAAATTTCGTCTGTGGCTTTTTTCTCATTTTCTAAATTTCGCGTTTTATTCAAAGTGTGATTTTCATGACTACCAAACATTTCCCATTTTCCGTCTTTGGATTTCTTAATATTTGCCTTACATTTAACGCGCCAATACGCGCAATGCGCGACATTGTCACTTTTGTGGTACTTATAAAATTTTATACCTTCAAAAACAATATATTCAGAATTTTTGAATTTTCCCGGAATTACGCTCATTTTTAATTACTGAAAGAAATTAATTATAATTATTTTATCAAGTGATAAATTTATTACTCAACAAAAATTTAAATCGTTAAAATATTTAAATTAAAAACAATATATAAAAGTCATCACTCAGTCAAATTTTAAATTAGACAGTTGAATAAGAAGATACTATCATAAGAGGACATTTCCATTTCTTGACATTTTAATTTTCAAATTCATATTGTGGAGACTAAATGTATCTCATAAATATCATTGTATGTTTGATTTGATAAATGTTAATAAAAATGGTTTTAAAATGAGAAATCTGAAAGAAAAGTTAATTAAAATAAGGTGCATTATATTTTATGAACCGTAGTTATTAAAATGAAAATTCTGTTTCTACAAAAACAAATAATATGATAACTTACAAATTAAAGTTAATACTGTATAATTTAGACTTGAACACATGTTTCCAAAAAAATTTTTAAGTGCCTGAAAAATTAATATGAATATTTTTAGTATATAGGTAAGCAATTAGGTGTGAAAATTTTAAGTTTTTGAATTATCGAAATTGTGTATACAAAGTACCGTAAAATGGGGTAAAGTCGGCGTTTGCGGGTAAAGTCGGCCGGCGCTTTAAACACTTAAATATTGTATTTCATTTATTAATTTACATTAATTCTAACTACATTTTTAATAAAACTCGGATTTCTTCTGGAAAAAAGTAATAGTTAAACTTTAAAATGATTTAAAGCGCCGGCCGACTTTACCCTCAAACGCCGACTTTACCCCCTTTTACGGTATTGCCAACATTTAACCACTTAACAGTCAGCGATACATACGTTGTGTCGTGAAAAAATAGGGGCTCAAACTGTCAGCGACATATACGTTGTGTCATCACCATCTTAACACAAAATAAATAAAAAATTTCTATTTAAATTGTAAAATAATTTCTTTAATATCATTATTCGTACACTACGGGTATCAATGATGTTTGGTTAATAATAATTAAATAATTATTTATTATTTTGAACTCATAAACAATTAAAAAACAATAAAAATCACGAAAATTTTTTTTTTAATTCAGAGACCCCAAAAACTCACAAAATAGTAAGTTTCATAATAATTTGTCGACTAGAATTTGTTGAACTGTTAAAGACGGATGTTGATTAACAAAAAAATAAAATAAAGTAAAATAAATTTTGAAGAAAAATAATAAGATTAGAAACAACACTAATTTTTATTATTAACAACCCGCTTATTCGGTAAGCGTAATTGCTCTTCGCTACACAAGATAGAAAAAGGGTAGTGGACTGTTGCTTAGAGTGTTATCTATTCAACACCCCCGGGTAGACGGTATTTCGTTGAAAATGTTCACAAAGAAAGAAATGAGATAACACAAATAAAGGTGATTAAATAAATTGAGAATTGAATTGACATAAAATAAGGTAACATTTATTAATACAACCCCCAATAGAAAATACATTCAAAACCCCAATTGATCTTTAATATAAAAAAAGATTACAATGGAAAATACTGCTACGTTAAGCTACTTGAATTGATAATAATTCAAGTCTCACAAAAATCATATATTATGAACACAAACAAGAGATCAATAATGAGTGTAGGATTTTAATAACAACAGCAAAAAATTAATTCGTGTAATTGAAACAAGTGTAATAGTGTTGGTTTTATGAGATTCTGTAATTTTCAAAATATGAATATAAATTCAAGACAACTCACCCAAATAATAATAATTAAAATGATACCGAAAAGTATCAAATTACTTTCTCACTCTCAGAAGTAAAATTGTTATCTGTCATATGATTCTGCAGTATGCGGAAGTTATCTTTCTACCTTCGTTTATTTTATATATTTTCTTTTATCAAACTTGTTTTTGTTAATTGTCTTCGGACAATTATTTCAATATTTCAATTTCTGTTTATTCAAAATTCAGAGTATTGGGTCACAAAATCTGAATTTTCTGAACAGTAAACTTGAAATATAAACAATTGCGAATATATAATAAATACTTTTAGACAAGAAATGGATTCTTCACTTTAACAATTAGAACACTTTATACTTTTCAGATAATCTTCTTGATTTTAATGAACTTTTATGTACTCGTCGACTTCACAGATTGTGGAATAAACACTTATATTTTTAATAAATAAAACTCGATGAACTTCAACCCTTACTATGGGGAATAAATGATCCTCTCTACCACTCTTAGTGGGAGTTAAACTTTAATATTCATCCGCTCCTTGGCGGGAAACACATCCGCTCTGCGGGAAAAACAAATTAAGACTCCTCGAATAATAATTTGGTGGCAACGATCACACCCATTTGGTATATAATTTTAGGTGGTGGGAGGGTTGATTTTGCAATCAACACCTCGTTGTTTCCATGCAAGTTTTAGCAAAACTTGCATTTTAATCGTGGCGTGATCGGTTCAACCACCTTTATTATCGGTATACTTTATATGTTTCCTCATTTTCCCAGAATAATGTGGCAACTTTTTGCAGTGTAAGTCCCACAACTTGCGAAATCGACTGTTAATTTAGTTTGAATTATTTCGCAATATGAAGTTCAATGATCTGAATTCATTTGCGAAATAACTTTGATTTGGAAATTAAATAAAACAATAAAAAAAATGAAATTATAAATATTAATTGAATTATTTAGGAGTATTATTTAAATATTCTAGTTCCCGAAAATTAATAGGTGAATGTGTTTGTGTTGTTCATGTTGTAGGTGTATAAGTATTATAATATAATAACAATATAATATAAAAATATAAACATAAATATTATTTCTAATGAATAATATTTAGCAAAAAAAAAATTAAAAAATTACGGAAATCCGTCCGTAACAAATACCCCCCTTTGTTCTGGCTGACGTCCCTTGGCAGCCTGTGTAGGTGTGATGTCATCTATTTATAATTTTTTTTACAAAGAGTCCTTTAGTGGTTTTACATTTTTTAAATGTTTACAAATTGTCCAAGAATGCAAAATGTTGTATGTTGTAGAATAGCTGAAAAAAGGAATCTAACGAGAACTGATTTTCCTTTTATAAATATAAATAGTCGTTTCCTCTTTTTTTTTGTTTTAGGAAGATTTTTAGGGAAAGGTCAAATAAGTTCTCGTCCTTAAAGGAAAAAAAAATGTTGTTTGTACGAGAAAAAAAAATGATAGAAAAAAAAACTGATATTTTTTTTTTTTTTTTTTATAAAAAAAAATGAAATATAAAGAATAAAATCAAAACCAGTAAATTATTAAATTTCATTATTTTAATTATAATATAAATTGGTATTTATGAAAAAAAATATTAGAAAAAATTTTTTTTTGTTAAGTTTGGTTAATTTAAAATTATTATATAATTATCAATTTTAATAGTTTACTAATTTTGCTCAAGTTAAAAAAAATAACACATAAATTCAAGTGTATGGAATGTATTTTAAAATAATTAAAAAGAAAAAATGAAATATTGACTCTTGATTTCTTTTACAAAAAAAAAATGTGTCATATATTTCAATATGTATCCATACATTTTGTTGATGAATGCCCCAAAAAAAATGAAAACAATTGATAGTTGTTTTGTTTCGGAATATCAAAAAAAACTAAAATAACAAAACAATTTCTTATTAATAGCCATATGCAAGTGTATAAACAAAAAAAAAAAATAATAACACAAAAACATGTTGGAGATAAAGTATTTAAAAAAAAATGTTCTCCAACCCATAAGCCTCTCTCTTTTCTTGCTGTCGTCCCTTGACAGCCTTTTTTTTGTGTCCTTCAAAACTATTTTCCTTTTATGAATGAAGGTAAGAAAAAGGTTAGTAGAAATGAATTTGATTTACGTTATATATTATTGATCCTAATAATGTGTCGCATTTTTGTATCATATTTTATGTAAAAATTGCTGAACCTCTTTTATTTTTGTTAGTTTGCAGAAAGTGTTTCCTTTAAGTGTTCGTTTATATTACGTGATCAGTCTTTCTATAGTCTTTCTCGAGTTCTAAGCTTTATTACAAAATTTTGTTTCATCTGTTATTTTGTTCGAAGTTTCTTTGTGTAATTATTTAACATCTTATGTCTTCCAAATCTCTTTCTTTTGACTCTTATATGATGGCCCTTGAGTTGGCTAGGAGTGGCGTGACGGATGCGGCGAGTTTTTTAGTGTGGAAAAGATTTGAGTTGGAAAAAATGCAGTCAGATAAGGTGTTGAGTGGCTGTCGTGGGTATGTATTCTGTTTAATTACTTTCTTTCCTTTTTTTTATAATAACTATAAAATGTTTTACGTTTATTTAATTGTGTTTTACTTAGAACAAAAATTTTGTTTTAGGGTTCAAATTTTGATACCTGAGTGGGTAGATGCTTTAGTTAGAATCCCTTCTTTCTCTAATTGGCCTTTGGATTTGGTGGATATGAGGAAAGCAGTTAAAAGCGATGTGGGGGAGGTTATTTGGCACCAGGAGTACCGTTGGAGTTGGGTTGAAAAGAAATACCAATACCGTGGTTACTGGGCGCCTGCATCCTTTCAACACCCCACCTTGTGTACAGTTCCTGATACCTTAGAAATTGAGGAGATTCAGGGCTGTTTGGGCGTTAATATCTCCAATTAGTGAGTATTTTAAATTTATGCATTTGAAATTTTGCGTGAGTTAATATACCTAAAAAAATAAAATTTTAATTCTTAACGTAAATATCTTCCCCCTTTTTTTTACAGTCCCTATTCCCATTTACCCGCTTTTCCGAGGACTTATGGGCCACGTCTTACTAATCTGGCCTTAGAATTAATCTTTTGACAGAGATACAGAGAAGAGTGGGAAGACCTTGTTTTAGTGGGCAGTAAGTGGGAGACGGTAAGTTCTTTTTTTTTTTGTTTTATAAAATTTTGTTTAAATAAAAAAAAAATGTTTTTCTCTTTTTTTTCAGAGATGGGCTCTACGCATGCCGGTTATTTGGCATGAGTGCTAGTTGTTGTTATTTGTTTTATTGTTATTGTGTTATTTATATTTTCTAAAAGAAATGTTTACAAACCAAATATTCTTCCACATTTTTGGGATTGGATACAGAATGAATTAATAAAAAAAATTGAGATGTGCTGATTTGTGTTTATATATATAAAAAAAGATAAAATAAAAAAAAATAATGAAAAATAAAAAAAATAATAAAATAATAAGATAATAAAAATGTTGATCTCTTTTATTTTTTTTTTGCCTTTCCAAGAAAAAAAAATGTCCTTCAATATTAGTTCCCAAAAAAAAATCTAAAACCAAAAATAGTTTTTTTTTTTTTTTTATTTTATAAAAAAAAAATGCAAAAAAAATAAACTCTTCATTTAATGACTGTGGTATCCTTGTTGCCCTCTTTTATTTCCCGTGCTACCTGTAGTGCCTGCTTGCTCATGGTAAGCCACTGGGCTTTATTTCGTTTAATAGTTAATTCTCGCGATGGCAGCATCTTGCGGCCCGTCGCGATTTCCTTCCCCCGTCGTCTCTCTTTCCTCTTGATCCCCATTTCTTTATCCCATTGTTTCGCTTTCGCGCGGTTATAGCGGCACGTATCGTATGTATTTTACTCCGCCTTTTGTTTTTTGTTCTTTTTTTTGTGACTTGTTTTTCTGTGACTGGTGTTTGTGTGACTGGTGTTTGTTCTCCCCCTTTTGTTTTTTTTGTTTTTAACCTGTTTATTGTTTAAGTGTAGTTTTCAGAGTGTTTGTTAGGAATAATTGTTTGTGGTGTCTTTCGTTGGATTAGTTCCAGTTTTTCAATCAACGGTAAGTTTTATTGAGTCATTCTTATCATTTATTAATTTAAATTTTATATTTAAAGTATAAGGTATTTCTTCTTTGTCTTTCTTGTTTGTTTCTTAATATATATATCTTTTTTTTGATTTTATTATAGCTTGTTCTTGTAGTTTACTGCTGAGTATCGTTCTTTTTGATAAGTCGTCTCTCGCGTGTCAAATTTCCCGCGGTATTTGCGAGGTTGCCGTGTTCAACCTTTTTGTAATTTAAATTTTGTCTTTACCACATAAAAAAATTCTTTTGTTTTGGTATATTTAATAAAATATTAATAACATTGTTACTTAGAACATTGGTAAATTAGCATCGATATTAACTTTATTAATATATCGACATTGATTGATCATTAGGGTGGATCGAAAAATAAAGAATTCAAAAAATTCAATTTGGGTAGTAAAAAAGTTATATATTGACATTGAAAACTTTAGAATATTTTTGGGGGATGACAGAGATTACGATCTTCAGCTCCGGCAATGTAAATGAAGTTTTAAATTTTGTAGAAAATTTGTTTTCAAGATTGATATCAAAAAAGTTTCATTTCAATTGAAGTTCGGGTTGTTTCTAAAATGTTATTTTATTCATCTTGTTGTGAAATTTTTTTTAACGGATATTAAAAGTCGATTTCTTCAGCTCCGGCAAAAGCTCGGAAGTTGCAGAAATTGTTTATCATCTTATTTAATATACATAAAGTAAATTAATTACAGTTGAATTCTACAAATTTGACTCTTCTGATATGTTGCTCTTCCCCTATTCTAGTTGCCTCTCCTTATATAAAAATTATGAAGTGAAGAAATCTCATACTTGCATTGCGCATGCGTCACACACACACATATACGTACATCCAATATGATCCTAATTATTTTCGCGCATCGGCTTCTCCTTAAGGCGCATTCAGACCTTCGACTGCCTGCACAGGCAGCCTCCCACCACCCTGAAAACGTACAAGAGTAAGAGAGACAGAGAATCAGTAGATTCAAATTTGAATTTTCTGTCTCTCTTACTCTTGTACGTTTTCAGCGTGGTGGGAGGCTGCCTGTGCAGGCAGTCGAAGGTCTGAATGCGCCTTAAGGAGAAGCCGATGCGCGAATAAAATTAGGATCATATTGGATGTACGTATATGTGTGTGTGTGACGCATGCGCAATGCAAGTATGAGATTTCTTCACTTTATAATTTTTATATAAGGAGAGGCAACTAGAATAGGGGAAGAGCAACATATCAGAAGAGTCAAATTTGTAGAATTCAACTGTAATTAATTTACTTTATGTATATTAAATAAGATGATAAACAATTTCTGCAACTTCCGAGCTTTTGCCGGAGCTGAAGAAATCGACTTTTAATATCCGTTAAAAAAAATTTTACAACAAGATGAATAAAATAACATTTTAGAAACTACCCGAACTTCAATTGAAATGAAACTTTTTTGATATCAATCTTGAAAACAAATTTTCTACAAAATTTAAAACTTCATTTACATTGCCGGAGCTGAAGATCGTAATCTCTGTCATCCCCCAAAAATTTTCTAAAGTTTTCAATGTCAATATATAACTTTTTTACTACCCAAATTGAATTTTTTGAATTCTTTATTTTTCGATCCACCCTATTGATCATGACTAAAAAAAAATTTTAATTTACACAATTTCAAAAAAAAAAATAACAAAAATTCTTCAAATACAATTGTTTACAAGAATTTCCCACGGTGTATTTGTTCCAGAATAAAAAAAAATCTCTCTTTCTTTTTTTGTTTTTTTTTTATTATTCATTATTTTTTTAAATTAAAATGATTATTCCATTGAAAATAATTAAATTTATTATTATTGTAACGCAGTTTTTAATCAAGGAATATTTTAAGCAATATTCCATAATAAAAAAAAATTTTAAATACCTAAAAATGTGTTTATCCTTTGAAATTAATTATTTATACAATATTATAATACTTTAAATATATAACTACGTTCTACTATCCTAGGGAAATTATCTTGTTAATTTTTTTCTACTTTATAACCGTAAAAAAAATTTTTATTACTATTGTTGATAATAAACTTGATAAACTTGATAATATTCATAACTCTTTTAAATATTTTATGAATTGGGTTCCCAAAAAAAATAAAACATATATCCCCTAAAATAAAGAAAAATTAATAATGATATTTCATATAAGGCATTGTTTCTATACTGCTGGAGAGGGTCCTCGCTGAACGCGTTGAGTGTAAGCTCCCCGCGCGTCCCTTGACATTGTGCGAGAGAGAAAGAACTACGCACTGCAATTCCCCGTTCTCTCTCTCTCTCTCTCTGATACACTTTACTCGCGACCTTGTATGTTCTCTGTTTTCTCATTTGACTTTCTCAGTTACTCTTATGCCTGTTGTATGTATGACTTTGTGTTATTTCTTTTACATTTCTTAACATCGTTTAAGAGTGATTATAGTACATTTCCTTTTTGTTAACTTTAATAGAGTTTTGAATGTCATTTATTAACTAATACATCTAAATAATTAATTAATCCCTCTATATAAAAAAAATGAATTACCCCTATGGAAAATTATTTAATAATTAAAAGAATACCCATTTTATGTTAAACTTATAAATTCCTATTTCCCAAAAAAAAAATTTTTTTTTTATTTTTAGTATGATGAGTTCCCCTACTACGTGCTCTAGCGATTTAGAGTTCGTTTCCCTCACCCGTCGTGAGGACATTGTTTGGCCCGAAGTGGCCCTTAATTCTTCTGACAGCGAAGTCAGTGATGCCTCTACTTTGCCACTAAACGATATCACCCGTAAGTGCTTTAAACTACCCTTAATACTATAAAAAAAATGTTTTGCATACCCCTTTTTTTTATTATATTTTATTTATTTTATTTCATTTTTTTTAATAATAAAAAAAAATTTTCTTTCTAGTCGCCCAAAGTGACATACCGGACACTCCTGCTTGCCCTGATCCTGTGTTTGAGGCGTATTTTGACGCCCATGCTCGACCTTACAGCCCAGGTTAGTAGCCTCCCCCAAAAAAAATACATTTTGATAAACCTATATTTTACCCCGTCCTTAATTTCTATTGTCTAAAAAAAAATTTTTTCTTTTATTTCCCTAGCCCCCCACTCTACTGGTGTTGGATCCGTTGAATCTTGCTCGAAACGAGACAGCTCCGCCCAGACTAACTCTTATTTTCCGGAGGGTTTTCCTTTAGAAGGTATTAGGTTATTTTTTTTTTTTTATTATTCCTATTGATTTTACCCCATTTGAACCAATCATTTATTAGTGTAAGTATGTACAAGTTGTAATTTCTTTACTTTCCCTTCTCTCTTTTTTTTATAGGCAACTTTTATAATATACCAGCCCATAGTTCTGCCACTCATTTGCTGAACAGCGATCTCCCCCTTCGTCCCTATGGTCAGTATATAATTAAAGTATATTTATAATAAAGCAGTTTTTTTTTTTTTTTTTATGAAGTATTAATTTTTTTTTTTTTTTTAGTACCTCCGGCGGCTGACGAACAAGTGGTCCTGCAGCTGATCGCTCGGCGTAGACTTTTAGCAGACGGTTCCATCCGAATGGAATATCGGTGGGCTGGTCCCAATTTTTATTAAGTAAGTTTACCCTTATCTATTTCTAATTCTCCCTGTTTTTTTTTTTTTTTTTTTTATTTTAAAGTAAGTATATATTACAACCGTAATGTTTTCTTATGAATGTAATTCTAATAATGTGCTGATTTTATTATTGTATATATGCTAAAATTGCTACTGTGGTGACCGTGCCCCAAATTCCTATCATTGTTGGGGAATATGTCTCATTGAGTTTTTGGTTCGACACACGTTGGCTTTGTTCTTCGAATTCTTTCTCTAATAATTTCAGTTTTTCGTCCGAATCCGACTTTTTCCATGAGAAGAATTTGTTGTCGTTTTCTACTACTACGACCTTTCGACCTACATCTTTCAGTATCAACGATACATTTTCTAACTTTAATTCGAGTTTGGGTTTATAAAGATATCTATACGGATTCTCTTTAATTTGAAGACTCGGCAATTCTATAGTATCTAACTTAAGAATACATTCTCTCGCCACATGTACAATCCCTATACCTGCCAAAGTGTAAGCTTCGGCTTCTCTCTGTGGGCAATTTAAATACACTATTTCCGAATGGATAAGAGAGTATAACCAACTACCTGTTGTAATCAGTGGTTCCCAAAGTGGTTGTTGATTTTTAGTGAATCTGATGTCACAAATTTTTAGGGTTTCGTTGTTTGGATTTCTTCTAAGTTCTGCCTCACAACCAGGTACCGACAGAATATCGTAAACTCCGTGCATGTGATAACATATGTATTTATTTTCTATCTGCTTGCAGTTTTTAAGTTGTTCCTCATTTAGATAAAAATAATACCTTTCATCCCCTGTAATTGCTAGATATTTTGCGTATGCTGATATATAAGCCCTGGTTCCATTTTCTCCTGATTCTTGTAAAACCGGCACTTCATGCATCTTATATAATGTGTAAATTCTTTCCTCCACTAGCGGAATATCTAGAGTTATAATTAAATTTTTCTCGTTAGTATGTATGTTGGTTTGTGAGATCTTATCCACATTTGAAAATGTTATGTCATCTATCGGTACCGGGAAGTCTACCCCCTTTAAACATTTCTTTGCTTCTGTTGCTATGACTACTAGTTGTTCGTCGGTTAACAATTTGGGTGACAATTTCCCTTCTTTAGCCTTATACAATATATCGAGTGTTTCACTAAGACCGTGTTCATAAATCCCTATTTCGCGGTTCCAATTCTCCATGGTGTTTCTAATATTGTTCAAATACATTTCGTGATTCAATTCATTTTTAAACTGTAATATCTCATCCTCAAACGCCTTTAAAATTTCTTTGACTTCTTGAGATTGATTGCGTTGTTTTTCAGCTATGTCATACATTTTGTGTAGTTCCGCCCTGACTACATGCGTCTGCTCACCCATTAAGTGAGAGAGATTCCTTTGAGCTTCATTAAGTTCTAACATAACCGCTTTATAGTTTTCTCCTTCTTCGTTGGTTAAGACTCCAATCGTGGGTCCTATTAGTTTTCCTAGTATCCCCATTAATGGTGCACGTCTTTTGTTAATTCTGTTACTTAGAAATTCTTGTTTTGTTGACTCCGACTGTTTTAGGGCTTTGATAACCCTTTGTACTTCTTTCCAGTGCAATTTAGCTATCTCCAACCTATTTTTCAAGCCTTCCGTGTCCGCGAAGTGATGACAATTACTGCCCAATATTTTCCTACATGGCTCGTTAGATCCTATTACGTGTTTTTCGAAAATTGGTAGTTGGTTTAAAAAGTCTTCCATGTCTAAAACAATGGCTGTTCTCCAAAACCCGGTGGTTCTTAGTACTGTGGATATTCTTTCATAGTAAATGCCTGAACTTTTGTTCATTGATATTATAGTGATGCCTGAATTTTGTCCTCTGACTGCTAATAAGATCCCTGTTAGAAATAGCGCTATCCCCTTCATTTTCGGCTGTGATTCTGCAACCAAAATTTTAAACTAACTTTAAGTTAAATTTGCTAATCTATTGGGTTTGGGCAACAACCGTCTTTCTATTCTATAGCTAGTTTAGCTAAACTATCGGCTTCTTCGTTGCCTTTAATTCCACTATGCCCTGGTTCATAAATTAGTTCTACTTTAATCCCGGTTATATTGTCGCTTAGTTTGCTAAATATTTCTTTACTAACTACAGTTTTCCTTCTATTAGTTTTCCACCCATTTTTCTGCCATTTTGGTAACCAACTCAGGTAACCATCTATCACAAATTTAGAGTCGGTGTGTATCCTGACTTTGCGTAACCCTTTTTTCTTTAATATGCTAATTGTTTTCACGATAGCTTCTATTTCTGCTCCATTATTGGTCTGTTTTATCTTCGCTTTTTCACTGACATTAAGAGGATGTTGTTTATTGAACCATATTCCTATACCCGCTCTTGCTGATTCTTTGCCGTTAGCTTTACAAGCCCCGTCGGTAAAAACATGTATGAAACCTTCCCTATCTTCTAGAAATCCTGCTTCGTTTTCTAGTCATAAGTACGCCTTTTTGACTTGGTCTTTGTGTTTTCTAAACCTTTTTCCTTCAGCATCGCATAGAATTAAATTGCTATTCTCAGTGATGGAAATAACTTCGTAGGGTCCATGATAATAAGGTTCAAATTTTCCTGCTCTGACCTCTTCTTTTACATCTACTACATCACCTACTTTTATATCCAACGGTCTAGCTTGTTGGTCATAAACCTCCTTTGATTTGATTTTAGCGTCTATTATATTTTTTGCCGCTATCCTCCTGATTTCAATAAGCCGCGTAACCAATTCTTGCAAATAGGATTCGTACGTTGCTAACTTCTCTTCTGTGGGAAAAGATGTGGGAATCCTTGCCTTTTTCCCAAATACTACCTCATAAGCTGTGAATTTAGTCGCATTATGTACTGAGGTATTGTATGCTAACATTGCAAAGGGTAATAAGCGATCCCAATCGTCGTTTGAATTAGCGTAATGCCTAATGTATTCTGCTAATACGGCATGGCTTCTCTCTAGGGCACCATTCGTTTGTGGATGATAAGCAGTAGTGGTTATTTGTGACACTTTAAAAAGTTTGGCTAATCTTCTCATTAAATTGCTAGTGAACATTCTACCCCTATCTGTTAGGATGGTTTTAGGTGCTCCATAAATTGAAAATAAATGCGTTGCTAGAGCGTGAGCTATTGTCGTCGCACTTATGTCTGGGACGGGTACAAATATGCAATATTTGCTTAACTGGTCTTGCATAGTCAATACGTGACAGTTTCCATCCGCCGTAGTGGGTAATTTTCCTACCGTATCTAGGCACACTTTGTCGAACGCTTCTAGGGGTGTATCAGTTATGAGCATTGGTTCTCTATTTTTTGTTCGTATTATCTTTCTTTGCGCGCAACTTCTACATTTTCGGATATATTCAGTAATATCTTGTTTTAATCCTGGCCATGTAAATTTTTCTCTGATTCGCTGGTAAGTTTTATTTACCCCTTTATGACCTGCTATTAAACTGTCATGGTATTCTGATATTATTTTCTCGCGATATTCCTTTGTGGGAACGTTTATTTTTCCGTAACATAACTTGATTTCGATTTCACTGCTGAGAAATGTTGTTACTAACTTTTCTATACCTTTTTCACCCCATTCATCCAATAAGTCACCATAGCGCGACACCCTGAATCGTTTTATTCCCTCTTTGATTAAAATGCCTTTAAGATTGTGCAAAGCGAAATCTAAATCCTCTTCGTTTATTTTTTGATCGCATTTTTCTGTTATAATTACGGTGAAAGTCCTATATTTCCCTTTTGGCGTAATTACAACCTGTCCTATTCTCGGTTTGTTACTTTTTATTTCCTGCAAATCTATTCTTCCTGTCGCTATCAATAACTTAATCGTTGGTGTAGATGGCTCTGCATCTGCTGACATAAAATGAACATAATTGTCCCTATTATTCGTTAATGGTCCTCTATCATAGGTTAGAACATTCAGCCTATCTAGTTTAATTTCCTTTTCATCTTGTTTCGTATTTTGAAAAGGAGGTTTACGAACGTCAATGTAGGGCATCGCTAAGTTTATCCCAGGTTTGCACCTTATCTCATTTTTATCAGGCACCCTTTTTTCTTCGTTCGTTATTATTTTACGTGGAACTACCCCTTTTTGCCTAGGCTCTATTTCTAAATCGTCTAACTCTAATTCTTCCCGAATCGGGTTAGGTACATAGGGGGTTGATTGAGCATTAGGTCTCGCCCTTGGGATGGGGGTGTCGAAAGTGACTGTTTTCTTACTACTTATAGCGTCTTTTACCGAATCTCTAGTTTCTTTTTCTGAATTTCTATTCTCCGTTATGCTTTTGTCTGGTTGATTTATTTGTTCTGAGATTTCCTGTAAGTCCGCTATAATCTCATCTATTGATCTAATTTCGTCCTGATCTATTTCTTCTTCATTTTCTATTTCTTCTTCATTTTCTATTTCTTTCGCCTGTTCCTCCACGAATTCATCATCCCAAAAATATGATTGATGACCGGCCATTGATAAATCGAAACGCTTGATTGATTCTCTAATACTATCTGCTATTTCTTGGTTGGGCCTTGGTGTATTATTCACTGTTTCGCACATCGTTATATCCTCTTCATTTTCTTCTTCTGATGTATCTACGGGTGGACTTAAATATACCTCGATTTCGTCGCTCCTGATAGGTTGTATAACTCTATTAGTGTTATCGCTATCGCTTGATTCGTCATCAGTATCCTCTGCATTCGTGTCATTTAAAGACGGTAACATACTATGGCTTTTCGCAAAATCGGTACGTCTTCTGCCTCTACTCTAGTTTCTGATTCCGTATATGATTCACTACTTTCTGAGACGAGTGTGTCATAAATAGTTTTTGAGTTTTTTTTCGTAACGACTACCGGCTCGGTTTTAGTTCTCGGCCTTAATCTTGACGCGATGGGTGTAAAATTCACAGGCTGCAATGCTTCTTTAGTTTTGGTTTTTCCCGGTGGTCTACCCCTTTTAGGTTTATTCTCTGTTACTGTGCCTTGCTCCATATCTACATTTGTGTCAGATTTAGCCCTATTTCTAAAATAATTTGGTGCTCCTTTTTCTGTCTGTCCTTTACCCGTTTTTCCCGTCGAAGGACCCGCTTTATTTTTCTCTAGCAAATTGTTTAAAACTTCACTAGCTTGCTTTTTATTACAATTAGCTGCACTACTAACACCGTCCGACAAAATTCAAATTTTTTTTTCACACACAAAAAAATCAATAATTTTCAGAAACTAGGACCAAAAAAAAGATACCCGTGTCTGGCCGTTTTGCTAGATCAGGTCATTTTTTGCTTTTAGGGGTAAAAACAACCCTTAAATGAAAGGTGATAGGAAATCTTGTACAAAAAAATAATTTTTTATGAAACCTGGTATCTCGGGGTTTTCCGGGTCGCTGATTACGAATCTGATGTCAGATTTTCAAAATTCAAAATGGCGGATTCAATATAGCGGTCGAAATTTATAAAAGTTCATCGAATTCACTTGAAACTTGTTACTTGAAGGTTTTTGGGGTCGC